TTCCCCCCCCACCCCCCCCCTCCGCTCGCTTTGCTCGTCTCCGTTTGCCAGCGCTTCCGCCCCCCCCCCCCCGCCGCCCAAACGCCCTTCGGAAACCCTGAAGAACTGCGGCAGCTCTTTCCCCTGTCTGTCCTCCCCCAAGAGCGGCCGCGGTTCCCTCCTTCAGCGAGGAAAATTCAGGCCGGCGCTGCCCTGGACGTGTTTACATAGCCCTTGCCCCCCGTTTCGGAAAGAGAGATTTGTACTCAATTAGTGGATCATCTCCAGGCTCAGAATCAATTGGCCCCGAAAGAGTCCCCTAATTCATTTTGATGGGTTTTCATTGGGGCCGTTCCAGAGCTGAAAGGGGGAGGAGTTGCAACGTTTGGCTTGCTAATCTTTTTTAAATAATCCATCGGTGTTTCTCCCCTCCCAAAACTGAGACTAACCACTTTTACAAAATAAATTTAAATCCAAACATTGGCTTGCGACTGGATCTAAAAGCCAGGACAGCTCAACATTTTCCACACACAAAAGGACAACCGCGTTGCTGATCTCCCTTGAAATCAATAGGACTTTCCTCTCCCCCGGTGCCGGTTGGTTTTCTATCGAAGTCAACCGAGAATAGGAGATGCTTGAGAAATTCCCTCGCTATGTGGACGCATTTTGGAATTCCGCATCCATTCGCATCAACGGGAGGAGAAGAGCATCTTCCTCTTCACTGATTTCAATGCAATGTGGAATTTCACACCGTTCGAACTAACTTTTGGAGAACTGCAAAGGGCTTCTCCGTGGGGCATTTTGGACTCCCCCCTCCCCCCCCTCAGGTTGTCTAGGATGTGCCTGACCAGTGATCCTTCCCGGGAAACTTTCTCCTTGACCACGTTTGCAACTTCGATCTCAAAACATCTCTTTCCGAGGGCAGCCTTTTAATTCGTTTCCCTGCCGCTCGCTCCAGAGCCCCGCTGTCTGCACCTACCAAGGCGCCTTCGAACCCCCACCCCAGTCGCCCGCAGCTGTCCTTTAGAAGGCAAAACCCCTGGATCGCGTCTTTCAAGGAATGGTGCCGGTGTCCAAAAAAGGAAAAGGAAAAAGCCCTCGCCGCCGTCCAAAGGGCTACCTCCAAAGGGCCCCCGAGAGGAGGCGGAGGAGAGCGCGAGGACTCGGGGCAGGAGCGGAGCAGCGGAGCCACGCACCCAGGTGCGCACGAAAGGAGGCCCGCCCGGGCTGAAATTGACAAGCCGACTGCCAGTTTCTCCGCAGCGCCTTGTTTGCCAAACAGAAGTCCCGAAATTGGGCTCTTTCCCCTTCTTAACAATGACTTTTCTTTCTTTCTTTTTTTTGTTTCCTTTTCCTTTTTAAGAAAAAGATGATGTCACTTAAAGGCAAACAAGAAAATTGATCTCGAGGCCTCCGCCGCCGGTTTAAACAGATTGGGAATAATAAAAGGGGAGGGGGGGAAAGAGGGGGAGGGGAGAGCCACCTCCTTCTCTCTGGGCGGGAGGCGACGGCTCGGGCGCCAATGGAAAGTAGCCGCTCGCTCTTGGGGGTGGGGAGGAAAGGGGGGCGCAACTTTTTCCCTTCCCCCTCCTAGTGCTTGTTGGAAGCGAACTGAGCAATTATCTAGTTTACCTTCTCCTCTTGGAAGTTAACGATTGGTGGGATCGTGGCTGCTGCTATTGACCCAACGCTTTCCATTGAGAGAGAAAAAGACGGAGAGAGACGAGAGGCGGCAAGCGATCGTCCGCCGTCCAAGGGCGCGCAGACTGCGATGGGCCGGCATGAGTCCACCAGGCTGGGCACGCTGGTTCCGCGGGCGTCAGTCGAGCCGGCGAGGATGCTAGCGGTGGGGGCCTTCAGGATGGCGGCGGCGGCGGCTGCCGCCTCTAGGTCGGGGCTGGAGGGTCCGGCAGCCGCGGAGCTGGGAGGCTCCCTCCTCGCAACTCAGTGACCGGGCGCCCGCCAGGGACCGATCCTCCCCCCCTCCCCAGAGGAGCAGTCCGAGCCCGCCGGGCCAGCCATGGACAATAGCGGGCGACCGCAGGCGCAGCAGCATCACCCCCCGACGGTTGCCAAGGGCCTGAGCGCGCCACCTCGGGGCAACATGCTGAGCGCTTCCAAGCCGCTGGCCTTCTCCATCGAGAGGATCATGGCCAGGACGGCCCCGGAGCCCAAAGCCCTGCCGCTGCTGCCCCACTTCTTGCAGGGCGGGGGAGCCCCCAAGGGCAGCGGCGGAGAGCCCGTCAAGGCGCCGCCGCCGCCGCTCAGCCTGGGGCCCTCCATCCCGTGCATGATCCCCTTCGTGCCGCTGGCCTACGAGCCCTTAGCCAAGGCGGGCTGGGAGGCCAGGAAGCCCCTCCTGGACCCGCCTTCCTCTTCCTCCTCCTCGTCTTCGTCCAGCTCTTCCTCGATGGCCGCGTCCCTGGGCTGCGCGCTGAGCCTCAAGCCTCCGGCCGAGCTGAGCCCCCTGCAGCACCACCACTACAAGCTGGTCCGGCCCCGCGTGGTCAACCACTCCTCCTTCCACGCCCTGGGCGCCCTGGGCTACTTCGGCCGGGCCGCCGACCCGCCGCCGCCGTCCAGCCTGGGCCTCCACCCGGTGGCCTCCTATTTCCTGGGATCGCCGCTCTCCGGCCCAGCGCCCGCCTTGCAAGCCCCGACGGCGGCGCCCAAGGCCTACCTGGAGGAGAGGAACAAGCTGCAAGCGCTGCAGGCCGGCCCGGACAAGTACCCGCCGGCGGCTTTCAAGGACTTGGCCGCCGCCCAGCCCCACAGCGCCGCCGCCGCCGCAGCAGCCGCCGCCGCCGCCGCCGCTCACCTGCTGGCCGCAGACAAGCTGCCCTTCAAGGGCGTCGCGGCCGACTTCAGCCGCGGCTCGCCCAGCGCCAAGCCCAAAGTCTTCACGTGCGAGGTCTGCGGCAAGGCAAGTGCCCCCCTCGCCCCCTCCCCCACCCGCCGTCCGGCCGAGTGGCGCTCCAGGGCCCGGCCCGTCTAACCGCGCCTCTCTCTCTCTCTCTCTCTCTCCCTCCCTCCCCCCCCCCCCCCCCCCCCCCCCCCCCCCCCCCCCTC